ATTAATTTTGGTTTAAAAGTTTGTTTTCAGGGAGCTTTGATAAGTGAGCAAGATTTAACAGATAAAAGTATGGAATGTATTTTTGAGAAGTTGGGGGTTCCAGCTGTTACGAGGGTACTTGAACAGCTTCGCATCGATGGCCTTATCACTAGACAACGGTTCCCTATTGAAGATTCAAAATTTTCTTGGAAAAGCCAGGCAACATTATCATTCAAGTATGTTTGGATAATATATAGTGATGGATGTTTCTAGCATCCTCCTGAATGTAGAAATTTGGCATTTAGAAATAAAAATAAACATTTTACAGCTTTCGACACTTCTTCAGTCATCGTTTCCATCCAGATATATTAGAACAACTTATTGAATCTAGCAAAGAAATGGAACATGGCACAGGTTTTGCGGCAGATGATGATACCGCTGGCAGTGTTGCAGCCACCACCAGATGCTTCTACGCAGGAGTAAATTGAAATGCTTATTATCGATAACCTAAATTTTATGTGATTTTCTCACATTATCAGAATCTTTAGAAATAACTATCTCCTTAATCGCTCAAGGACTGTGACAATGAATCATTATTTTTACTGCAAAATTTTTATCCTGAATTTTTGATTTATACTTAAACTGTTATGTTAAAATTTTTTAATTCTTTCATTCTGTAATTATTTTAGCCATTACTGAAAATAACGATGGATGATAATGTACTGGAATGTTTCGATGCGTCTTCTCAAGAAGTTTGTACCAAGTTTTTAATTACACCTTTTAGTTTTTGAGGTACATGGTGAGAGTCATGAGTTTTATCCTGTCCTCTCTTTTTTTAGCACATTGTTGTTTTGTTCTATTTGTCGTTATTACTGATATTTTCAATGATTAATCATGCAATTTAAGAGGTCAGAAGATAGTCATTTTTCTTTATTATTGTTCACTTTTATCATTTCAAGAGTAATCGCAAAATTTATTCAATAAGTTAGGCGGTAGTTTTATTATTTTAACTTGTCTAATATATTACACTCTTCATTGTTTGTTTGGAAATTTGTGTGATACTGGTATTTGTAAGTTTTAATTTATGTGTATAACTCTGAAAATTTTAAGCAAATTATGAACGCCACTAAACAGTTACGCTATTTGGAATCAGCAGATTTGCATTTGGAACGGATAACAGTGAAGCCCGAAGGAGATTGCACACCATGTGATGTACCTGATTTGCAGCACATACTAAATTCGCTGAAGCAGACTTATTCGTTAGAAATGATAAGGAACACTAATTTCGATGATTACTTAATGTCACAATCGATCTCCTCGCGTTCGTTTTTGCGTCGAATTCATACAGTGATCAAAGAATCGAAATTTATTGGACTGTCGATTGAGGAATTAACCGTGAGTATTTGAAATTAACAAGAAATGTGAATATCTTGAAAAAGATTAAATTTTGATTTTTACAGTTCTTACAATATCAGACATCTTTTGAACAAAGTTTTGATGCATATTTTCAATATTCTAATCAAATTTTTATCACAGTGTAATACTCGGAAGTATCCATCTTGGTTTATCCTTTCAGATAATTTTAAAAAGCAGTGGTTCAGTGATAAGTTTGGCTGTGCAACAGATGGAAGCAGATTCGCAATTGGTAACTGTTGGTGTGGATACGATACGATTTGTGCTCCCAGCTTATAGTGACTGTTGGCTTGTTCCTTATGGAAAGCTTGTCTATGTACCAGCCCCTTGGTTGACGCCATCCGGTGAAATTCATGCACCTGCTGTGAGGTATGGTTTTCCTTTTTTTCTTAAATCTTTTAAATGGTTCTAAAAAATTTTTTTGTAATTTAATTTAAAAGCATAATATTTTTAAATTTCACAAAGTGTTTTATTATTTTCATTTACTTTTTTTCTTAGTTTCAATTTACTGACATTGGATTTGTTACTTGTTTAAAATGACTGACTTAACAGTTATCTTTAAATTTTATTTCTTTTATGGATTTATATAAATGTAGGGGATGGGTCTCCGAATATATAACATTGACAGTAGGATGGAACTTTTTATTTCAAGATGGATGGCAGAAGGTGTTCTGTTCTCGATTATTAGTCGTCCTGGATGTCCTATTGATGAATTAAAAAGACGCTTCTCATATGTTTTGCAACCGCGAATGCTGCTGGAAATAGTTCGAATCTTGGAATTATGCAATTGCATTCGTATTCAGAAATTAACTTCTAGGATCTTTCGAAGAAAATCTTTATTTGAAAGTGGTGAGTTCTGAGTTTTATTGTATTTCATTATTCAAGAAGTTGGAGTATGCGTTCATTTTAAAATCATATTTTAAGCATTAAATTATAAGTGATGGGAACAATTAGCTTTTACCCAATGTTCATTATCTTATTTTAAAATTTAAGTGTGACCTTGTTATGGTTATTCGTGAAAATGGCTGATTATTGTTTTTTGTCTACATTTTTCTCTATAACTAGAGGATTTATTTTGCTGATGACAAGTAGGATGATTCTGATATGTAAAAATAAATACTGGTTTACAATTTTTCGATTTTTTTGCTGCATTTTCAAACACTAAATTGTGAACAAGATACAGTGCAAAAGAAAAAATGTTTTGACCAGAATTTTGAAAGTGAATAAAAACTTATTGAAAGGAAAATATAAAATAACTAAATGACATAAAGCTAGTTTTCAAACTGGTTTGTGATATTGAAGGAAACGCTTGATATCATGCGTATATCTGCTAATTCTGTTTTTAGATCAAATGGAAACGGATATCTTTTATATGTCTGCGACCGAGAATGCAATGGAACAATTTTCACGAATATTTGGCGCGATACCATTACCTGCAATTTTTAAATCGACTCGACCAGAGGACATTTGACTACCCGTCCAAGTTACCCAATTTTTATAATTTTTCAAACTTTTTAGTAGTCGCATTCCGTATTATTGTAAAGGTTTCCAAGTGGTTAATTTTTTATTGGCTTCCATATTCTACTGTTCTGATTTATGACTTAACTCGTTGTTATACTGCAAAACTGTTTGTAAATAAGATTTTTTTCTGCTATCTATTTTGTTTTTTACCCGTCTTATTTTTCTTTTCCGGAGTACAGAACCATATTCCTCAGCTGCAAAATCGATCTCTATTTTTTGATAAATAGTTTTTCTTTATTTTACTTTGAAAGGACAGTGTTAGAAGAAGTAAAGAGAATTCAATTGTATACCCAAACCGGTCGTTGTTAATGCTTCCTGTCTCAGCAATGAATTAAATTCTTTTTCTGTACTTTTCTTCATTTTTTTTTTATTTCTGCAGTTCAGAGTGGGATTGAAGAAGTTTTGCGGTCGGTACAAAGTTGCATTCTTTGTTAAACTAGAGAAGGTAGACCAATTGGTTTTTTTTTCTCAATTTTCTAATATGTTTTCGCAATTTTCATTTTTTGTCGATCAATTCACACCACTTCTATCTAAATGTAGTTGTCGGAGAAAATGTCCCTTTTTGAGCAATTTTTTTCTCTTTGTGAGCTTTTCATACTTGCCTATGCTTCACTTTAATAGAGAAGTTAAAGATTTCATTGCAAAATGAAACATGCATGTTGTTCGGTTCAATTTTTGAGTGTTTTAATACGTTATATAAATTCATCTTTTTTCTTCTTTGATTTTTTGCTATCCAAAATTAATTTTAAATCGATTTTCATGTTCATTTCAGGCAATTTCTAGATGTGTGGGATTGATTTTAATGATTATGAATACATATTAAAACCTAATTTTAGACTTTTTATTAGGATTCCTTTCATGTTTTCTCTATGAAGTTTGTAAGATATAAATTATACTAAAGCAAAAATTGAAAATAGTCATGAATTTGAAATTAGCTTATTTGAAAAATAGACTCATACTGAAATGGTTGGGAGCATTCTTTAGGAATTGCTAACTCGAAAAAAAAACAATATAATACAGTGACTGCTTAAAATTATGCTATTTCTACTTAAAATTGACCGCAGGTATCGCTTTTTTGTTAGATTCTAGTCCATTTTCATCTTGAAAGAGAATTTTTGCAGTGCTTGTTAATAAAGTATATAGCAAGGATGCTACATGTTTTTAATGGTCCAATTGAGCCAGTGTCGTCGGCTGAATTTCAAAGGACCAAGGAAAAGAAAACACTGTTCACATGTCATCCCGTAAGGCTTTCTTCATTTCTGAGTATCATTACCATTTTCTCAATTATTGTCAAGAAATGGACTGTTATGTTGGTTCGTGAGTCAGTTCCTAATGATCTCAGAAAATTTTAAATCAAATATATTTCACATGCTTATTCTCACATTTTTCGAACTACAAATTTCACTGCTTGCTTATTCAGATGTTTCTCTGTTTATTCAATCATCATTCAAGATTTTTCGATTAACTTTATTTCTTGTTTTGTTGTTGACTGTGTTGTTTTTTCATCTACAGTAAGCAAATAAAAGTTAGGCTCTGATGGAAGTAGTTGAAATGCAGTGCACTTTTTACATCTTTTATAAAATTAAGAGTTTTGAAAAAAAAATGCAGTGCAATAAGCATTGCTTTCATTCGTGTAGATAGATAAAAAAAGAAAGCAAGAAAATGAAAACGTCGAGTCTCAAGAGTCGATTCAAAATAATTTGTAATTGTAATTGTCGAAATATAGAGTTTATCTTGCATGAAATACCGCGTGGATCAAAATGTCGCATTTGCAGATGAGGAAGTAACATGATCTTCATTGATCTGAAGTTTATCATTGCTAAGAAATGCATAAGATTTGAACTTGTTGCAGAAAATAAAGGAAGAAATCTTTTAGTTTTGCCTTTTTATATATATATTATACATAAAAAAGGTGACAGAGTGCATTTATTCAACAGGAAATCGCAGTTTTTCTGCTTTACGAATATGAAGATTGCACTTAGAATTGTTCGGCTATTCCTCTCTATGACAGCGACAGTGTCCATTCTGAGAACTTGAACTATTTTGACGACTTTAGAAGATTCTTTGAAAGTCTCTTGTTTTGAAAAATGTCCCATGCGAAATCGAAGTCGCTACTTATTCGTGCGGAAGGTTTAGGAAAAGTAGATGTAGAAACAAAAAATTGAAGAAAATTTGATAACTGTTTTTTCAAGCATGCTGACTTGTGTAACGAAAGAAGAAATTGCAGACTGGTAATATTTCCCTTCAGTGTTGAAAATCTCTAACAGCATTGGAGCGGAGGGAATTTGCAATCAGAACTTTCCAATTGATATTTACAATTCTATCGTTTTTTCTGAAATTTCAAGCCATTCCTATAATAGTGTCTTTTCTAATGATTTATCTCCTTCCCTTCTCTAACATCCTAGAAGTTGAATAACTCTCTCAAAATACATCCTTTATGCTTAGAAATAAAAAGCCATTTTGCAATCTACCTCATCCTTCATTGAACAATGCTGTTGAATTTCTGATTGTAGAAGCGACAAATCATTTATCATGAAGATGGACGACGATTTGTTGACGACAAAATTGAAAATGAACAAAGTGTTTCCAATTTATGGTCAACAACTCTAACACGTTCAGTGGCACAAGATTTGAAGGATCGATCTAAAGAAGATTTTACTTCACGAAATCACGAACGTACACGATACGGTGTTTTTTTTTTTTGATTGCATTAGACAGGAAAGAAAAGAGGGCATCCCCAAACCATTCAACCAATTTCATCCTTCCAAAAAATTTTTATATTCGTTCTTTCACCTCTTTGAGAATTCATTTATTTTCAGTCTCAAAAAAAAAAAAAATAAAAAATAAATTTATTTTCAGTGCCTTATTTGTTGCAACAATTCGTGCCAAATCGCAACATACGGCTTATATTCGTCTTAATAGCAGTGAACATTATACTCATCTCATTATTTTTCTATATTTTTGTATTTTGATTTTGTACTATATGTAGTATTTTTTTAAGTATACAAAGCTACCTATTTTATTATATTTGTTCAAAATTAGCTATTTTACTGATGAATTTTCATCATTTTACCACTGAAGCGGTAAAAGTTTAAGCCTCTTTATATATGGCACAGTGTGCGTCTTTTGCGATATACATTAAGATGAAGGATAATATCATCGAGATTGTCGCGTAGAATGTCCAGTGTTTGATTTAGAAGTCATCATGGAATTTTTACTCTATCTTACAAAAATACGAGACTTCTTTCCCGATCATAATAGATCAATTATTTAATGTGAAGTGGTTATATCATTTATACATTGACTTCTATAAAGAGTGCTTGTTTGTTGCTGCGGATACAATAAAATATAAGTTTTACTCTGGATTACTTTAGCTTAGTAGTAAAATTTAGCATAGCTAAAGTAAATTAATAGCAAAAGTATATCAAAAGATAAGACCAAGACCCAACTAAGACTTAGCTATTATTGAAAAAGAGCTGGCAGTCTCCATAAATGGATTGTTTATATAGGAAAAAATATATCCATTGTGGTGACAGCCACAGAAAAACTACATTTGTGCATTCTTAGCAATTAACCTGCACATCATTTCATGCTCATTATATTGCATTTTTTTTGCAATTGTACTGTTGCAGAGCAATCATAAATTAAACTTTAAATTACATCTTTGGCATTCTTCATTACAACGCACCATTTAACGTTTGCAAATTTAAACACGGTTAGTTAATTTGAAGTAAAATATTCGGTATTATGCGTGACGTTGTATATATTTTATGCCCGATTCTCCAAATTGTTCCAGTTGCCAGTAGCATCTATCTGTGTAACAAATTTATTCGCAAGACATTTTCGAATAAAGAAGGAAATTTCGCCAGTTCAGAAGCTTCCTGTAAGAAAGACATTATATTTTATAATTTCAAAGTTCTTACGTTCAATATGTCCTAAGTAATTCACACATTTTTCATGATAGCTGCATCCATATATAACAAGTATAACTGGTTGTAATAGATGAAGCGTGGAATGCCTCCCACAACGTTTAGCGCATACGTATAGTGCGTACGCTAACATTATATTTTACTCTTTACAAATGGCGCTGAAAGGAGTTCGTGGAGTCTGAGCACTTCACAATATATACCAAATGACTCATCAGGAATCTCCCTAACTCTTGGCCTCAGCGCTGTCGTGGGACGATGCTCGGGCCGTGCTATATACTTCCTCTAATTTTAATTGGGAAGGTGGGAGGGTATTGTGTATGACGTGTGTTACATGTCGTATTATATTTTTCGCAGCTACCCTTGGATCATATGCAGCACTCTCAGAAGATAAGTAATCATAGTGGGAGTGAAATAACTTCATCTGATCTGATTTGATCAAATCCTTCTTTGGTTGTTGTATATTGCAGTTATTATACGTGTCATCATATCTAGCCGCATGTTGACTAGAACCTTTATACGATCATTACGATTTGTATCGTTGGCTGACGGTAGGATACAGACGACCAGGGTTGGTTTGTAATTTATTAATTCTGAAAATGACATTTTCTCAGTATAATTTAGAACATTTTCCGTAATTCAGGGTGTACAAGCTGGGACGAAACAAAGATTCGGTGCATATAAGAGAGCAGGGCGAGTTCTGGTAGAATCTACAGCTATGGGTACAACAGGTGATTCGACAAAATCATTCGCTATTAGATGAGATATTTAGTTTCGATATGTTCAATAGAGAGTTTACCAATATCTATCTAATAGTTTATTCAGATTGTCAGTTTTCACCCACTCATCACTTAGTCCTTCCAGGTTTTGCATTAATACCTTTTTTGGGTAAGAAGTCAGAAAAAAACAATGTCTCTGAGGAAGCATCAAAATTGGAGCGTTTCAAACGAGAAGCGGATACGTTATACAGTGTTTATTTGATCGAGAATGCATACAATGTCTTAAGGAGGTTGTTATTGGACATATAATTTTTTCGTCATTTTTCTCAAAATAAAATTTTGAGTTTAGGCGATCTGGTATAATCATCTTTTTCCAGATTCTCATCAAGCAATGATCCACAAATGCTTTGGAGACTGGCTCGCGTATTGTGTGAAAAAGCTAAAATGTCTAAGGTTATTTAATTCTGGCTTAATAGAGACTTCAAGGTATTTTCGATGAAGTCAAGTTATAGTTCTATAGAACTGTTCTAATTTAGGAGTCAATAAGCAATCTTCTGTCGTTCAAAATTATGGTGGTGATAAACGACATTAATCTTATTTTCATCTTCAGAAATATTTAGGATAAAGATGATAGAAAACGGTTCATGTATGATGCTTTGAAAATGGCTGAAAAAGCACTCGCTAATGAAGGTGAAGAATCATGTTGGGAGGCTCATAAATGGTGAGTTTTGGTATTGGTGTTTGAAACAAACAGCAGAATGTTTATAATTGTTTTCAAGCTCCACAAATCATAAACAGATGAAATGACTGTAAATTGATAATTGTAACGTTGTCTGTGATAGTGGCTTCCAGTTGTTTCCGATTTAAAAAGCAGTTAGTAATTCTTTATAACTGTTTGGTGTAAGGTTTATGCATTTGAATGTTTGAGAGAAGATAAGTATTAAATGAAATGTAAGAAGAATAAAATATTAAGCAATATTTGTTTGATGTATTTGCTTTCCTTTCTGATGATTTACTTCTATCGACTATCTTTTGTTTCTTATGAAATAATTTGAAGTGTTAGGTCTCTATTTAACTTTCTATGCCCTGGAACAAGTAAATAATAAGACATCGAAATAGGGATCATAAGGATAAAAATTTTCGACATATACTTAAAGATATTTCTCTTTTCTTGATGAGCTGTGTTTAGGTATGCTATTGTGTTAAGTTATGTATCAGAGTATGAAGGCACCAGAGAACAGATTCGGCAGTCTTTGGAAATTCGCAAGCATCTTGAAAAAGCACTTGATGTAAATTCTACTGATGCAACTACTTGGCATGCACTCGGTTCATATTTCTTTAATATATACTTGTTTATGAAAGTATGTTATATCTTGCTGTTGAATGATTTCTTTTTGATTACGAGTTAATTTTATTCTTTTTAAGTTGTTGAAGCCTCATTATTTTAGGCGTATGGTACTTTACATATGCCGATCTATCATCATGGAAAGCTGCAATAGTTAAGGCGTTGTTCGGATCAGTTCCATTAGCGACATACGATGATGCATTGAGATGTTTTCAGAAAGCTGAGTTTATCAAGGTAAATCTAGGATTGCACATATTTTAAAATATGAAATATATTTCTTGTGATAATGATCTTTTGATGTGTCAATTTCGGCATAACATATGTATCGGAGATATTGATTTCAGCCGAATTTTGATTCTTCGAATTTGTGGTACTTAGCAGAAGTAAAAACCAGACTTGGTCAAAAAGAAGAAGCATTTGAACTTTATAAATCTGCATTCAAAATGCCAGTTATTACCATGGATGACGGTGATACTCATGATAAGGTAGAAATTTTTACTGTGAAATATTTTTGTTTCCCTTATTAACAATATAACTCCAAAATGTATTATTTTATCATTTTAGGCTTACGAAAAACTACGAAAGCTTGGCGTAAAGGATTTCACGAAACTTTGATATCGTAATGTTAATTTCTGAGAAAGTTTTTCAGTACTTTAATAAATGTGTACTAAGCATCTTTAGTTAGACCTTTAGACATCGCTTGACGATGTGAAGGTTGTTATTTGTTTATTTTAACCAGCTGAGAATCATTCGCATGCTTATATTTAAATAATTTTTTCAACAGTTTCAGTAATTGTAAAAAAATTTGTCGTATGGTTATTTCTTGCATCATTGATTTTTATTTTCCATTTAGCTTATTTTTTTGAATGGAATTTTGATTCAGTGTTGAATATCATATATTTCTTCAGTTTATTGTCTCCTCATATTTTGATTAATTCGAAAATAGTGTTGCAGTTACTATAAACTGTGCAAATTTTGCGCCATCACGGGTCGAAGGCATGTATTTTTTTATTTTATTAATAAAATGATTCTTCTATTTTATTTATCTTTTTGGCAAAAGGTAAAAATTATCTTGATAAATGAGTACTGTGCAGGGTTGTATTTTTTCGATGGCTGGGTGATAAGTATTGATAAGTCGTTAAGGGAAACTAGTTCTTGTGGGTCATTTCTGGAAAAGTATTTTCCTTTTTGTAAGGCTGGATTTTATTTTTTTTAATTTCTTCATCTTGAAATTGTGAACCTGGTATTTCTTTTTCTTTTTAAATCTGGAGTTTTTGTCGTTATGAATTTTTTCCCCTCTATGCCTGCGTCACAATATGCATGTCATTAAAGTTAAAACTAAAATTTAAATAAAAAACGCCTAGTTCACACAAATTATTTTTTCTGTTTTCTTCATATCTTTCCGAATGGCCAGTTAGCTTTTGTAAGAAGTAAGGAATGTCCTGTTGAATCCTTGGTACCTATTGTTATAGCACCTAAAAATGATTCACTTGCCGCACAGTGATCACGATCGAAGAAGACATGTTGCTGAGGAAGGTATGAATTATTATGGAATAAGATTTGTTAATTACTTTCAAAAAATTTTTGATTATTAACTTTTTAAAACTTTTTTAAAATTAAAATTTCTTAGTTATTAACTGTTTGGATGGTTTTAGTATCCATTTAACGATTAAAATCGAGAAGATATGTTCTTGCGCTGTCAGTTTTTAGTTTTTATTGAGCAATTATTGATTAAAATTTTTAGATAGTGATGGGTGTTACAAAAGACGGCGAACTATCCAGGAAAGGACGGGGTCAGAAGCGCATTTAGAATCACTCATCAATCGCATTAGTGAGAAGGTAAGGTTCAATCCGAAATAGTGGTCTCATTCATGACAGGAATAATCCGCAGCTTCATTGTCTTCTATGAGTTCTAAATACAATATTACTTTAAAAAAAATGAGAATGATTGGATGACATGGGTTTCGGCATTGCAGTGAGACTGCGGCTTCGAAATGAGGTTTCGAAATAGACAATGTTATTTAACGTTAATTTAGAATAATTCATCTATGGAATCCAACTTGGAAAATTTGGCGCAGTCACTGGGAATCTACCTCATCACTGATATAGATCGCATCATCGATATCATCTTAGAACAGTAATGTTTCAATCTTATAATATTTTTATGTGAATAAAGTTCAGGAATTTGTAAATATTGTTAATTGCTAATAGAAATCTTTTTTTGCAGCGTATGTTATTTACCGGAAGAAATTACTGCATATTCGACTCTTGCGGGCTTATTGAATTCAAAAAAGCAAAAATTTGGTTTTGAGGTATCGCAAGCGTTTTATTTTGGAAAAAACGAAATAATATAATATTTAAGTATACAGTTTATTTAATCTTTACAATAAGATTGATTTTGCTCAAATTTTTAGCTTCTACATCAATTATTGGAAGTTTTGCGGGAGAAGCTTGTATCCGCTGATTTCATTCATGCTTTGCATATTGTAAGTTTTATGGTTTTCGAAATTTTGTGTACACTTTTTTGCGTTATTGATTTTTAATTATTGATTGTCTGTTTTTCCAGGTCATATTTCTAGCTGACCTAGTCAATTGTCGTGTTGTTTCATCCAGTTCTTTAGTGGAATTTTATGAAAGCTTCATGGAAGCAGCTTGTGAAGAAAATATTCCGCAAGTATGGTTTCTTAAAAAATTACAAACATATATAATGGATTTGTAAAATTCTATCGCTTGTTTAATAGCTTGCATCAAAATTTTGAAAATAGAATAAAAAAGTGCAATGCTACCGTTAATTTGGAGGTGGTTTGCATTTAATAACTATTTGATTTGGTTTTCGTTTAAACATGATCTGTTTATAATTTTCCATGTTTTAAAAAAGTGTTGATCTTTCCAGGTTCGAAGTGACTGGTTTGTTTATGCGGTACTGCACAGTCTTCCCTGGGCAGGGCCTGAATTGAATGATAGAGAGAAGGAACCGCTTGACAATCTTTTGGAAGGTGTTGATAAATACATGCTTGAAAGGAGCACATCTCATGCTAAGGTAACACTGTAGTGACTTGTCGTGATTAACGAATTCAATAATTGCCTAGCGCATATGATAAAGGTAATATCAATATATGTACTTCAGGTTTGTCATAATCTTCTATGATACAGAAAGAAGATTGAATAAGACTGAGATTTTATTATACGAACGACAAGTATTCAATGAAATTGGCAAATTCATTGACTTTGAGATTTTTTTGACTCTCGTACAACTATAATTAATCATCCTTATCAAAGCCACTATTTTTGTTCATTTTTCTTATGTTATTCTTCTCTTATTGTCAAATTATTTTACTTTCAGCTGCTTCAAGTTTGGTCAGCAACGGAACATGAACAGAAAGAGTATTTGGATAGTTTGTGGACTCAAATTTCCAAGCTACGGGATGATAATTGGGTAGAGCGACATATTTCACGATATTATGTAGCATTTGATGGTTCTTTGGCTGGTGCGATTACGCATAATTTACCGATGTAAGAGGCGCTATTAATTTTTATTTGGTTCAAATTTTGCAGCAAGTTTTTAAGAATCATTTTGGTTAAAAAAAATAGAAATTTTTAAAATATTGCTTAATGTGCCGGAAGGATATTTAAATACAATCTACAAAGGATTTGCAGTTAATTGCGGAATATTGAAAGTTTCTTTGCTGTTATTTTCTGCATATGGTTTTTCCGAAAGGAAATATTTGTATCAGTATGATTAATTTAAATGATGTTATTCTGTAGATTTGTTCCACCACCGCATACGTCAATGATGGTATATCCACTGCCTACTGTTGTATTTCGTTTTTTCGACTATGCCGATTGCCCAGATGGAGTAATTACCTACATTTCTTTAGTTTTTCTTTTGTCTTCATTTCTTTCGTCTTTTAATATCTTGTGATTTTAAAGTAATCGTTTGTAGGGACCAGTACTTCCTGGAGCTCATTCAATCGAGCGCTTTTTGATTGAGGAAGAATTATGTTCAATAATCGGGAATAACTGTTATAGTAGAAAAGAATGGTGATATTTTTATCTCTAATCACATTATTTTTTATGTTATACTTGCTGGAATCTTTCAAAGTTTGGTACAGCTGATAAATCTTTGAAATTTTAGTGCAGCACAACTTGTCAGTTATCAAAAAAAAACAATGGTTCCAATAAACTACATGATCTTGGAAGTAATCTTTTCTCAGCTGTTCCGTCTGCCACATCCACTATTGCGACCTCTATTTTATGGAAGTGTGATGATCGAATTATGTAAAATAAAGGATATGCCGCAGGTTGGTTTTTTCATCCTCTTTTTGTGATTTCATGTCAAAATCTGGTAAGGAAGAGTTATAGTTTCTTGCCAAATTATGCTTCTGTTTTGCTGAATTTTGCGTATTCCTAGGTAATTGCCCAAGCAGCAGAATTATTTTATCAACGAATCGACACAATGCAACTTGAATGCATCGACAGGTTAGTCTACCACGGTGAAACTTGATTTCATTTTTTAATCAAATTTTAATACAGCAGTCCCGGACAATTCACATTTAAAACGAAAATTTCATCCCATGTGAAATACAAAAACAGCTTCTACTGCGTGTGGTTTATTTTACGAATTTGAATTCCATTATTAAACTTACACTTACAAGAAGTATTTTAAAATTTTCAGATTGATTGACTGGTTCAGTTATCATATGTCAAATTTTGATTACCGTTGGTCTTGGGCCGACTGGGACGATTGTCTCGATCTGAATGACTATGCACCTAGACGGTATTTTGTGAAGGAAGTTAGTGATTTATTTTCAATACCATTTTATGTGGTTAAATTTCTTAAAAAGACAATTCATAATTTTCGAGATTAAGGTTATCGAAAAATGTATGAGGTTTTCGTATCACGAAAGAATTTGTGATTGCCTGCCAAGTTCATTCGAAGAAATAACGCCAGAAAAACCTTCTATATCATTTTCAGTTGACGAAGGTATATTAATAATATATATACGCTTATTTCTAAAATCTATTTTCTTAAACTGGAATTCATTCTGTCTCTCTTTCTCTCTTTATGAAGTATGTTTAACTGAATTCTGCGAAAGCGTTAAGAAATAAGTAGTATTTCATCTTATTATTTCAATTATACTTTGTACTATACCCATGATCACAGACCTTCTAATTCATAGTTTTATTCTTTTAAATACTATAGTTGCTGCTGATTATCATTTCTTTCAATCTAATTACGCCAAAAATACGTTGTGTATCAGCAGACTTACAGCAGTCAATTATGATTTATTTTTCGTAGGAGAAAAAGAATTGGTTGCCGAAGTTGAAAAAGCATTTCGTAACAAAGTTGAGTCAAAGGAAGTAACTGAAATGTTACGCGGATTTAACGAGAAAGACAACGGCTTAGCAACACTCTCTACTTTCTTTGCAGTTATGCTTAATGCAGCGCAGAAGTCATTTAGTCATAACTTTGCAGCGTTAGCAAGGTTTCATTCTCCTTCATTCTTTTCATGTACATTTTCAACCTTCAGTTTTTTACTTATCTTTTTCTCTCCTATAATTAAAATGAATAGTTTCCAACTTCTGGAGTGAGTTAAAATTGACACAGATTACATATTTTTAATTCAGGTACCATGAAACATTAAAAGAACTGAGTAGTATTGATGATGAGTCTTCTACGGCACTCTTACAAACACTTTACAAAGTCTGGAGGCATAATCGACATGTAAGTGTCACTTAAGTTTTTACCTGATTTGAAACATCCAGTTCTGAATACATTACTATAATAGTATTGCAGATGATAGTTGTATTGATTACCAAAATGCTTCGAATGACATTACTAAGTGCGAATGCCGTAGTGTCCTGGTTGTTGAGTAGTTATGTTAAACAGGAGTTGCATCGGTTGGTTTTGCATTGCTTAACAGTTTTTTATTTCGTTAAAATTAGTAAAATGAAGCAGTTATTAATGTTTAATATGTTTTTGCTCTAATCATATTATTTTTCAGATTCTGGCTGTGGGAAGCATTATTTATAACTGTAAAGTATGCATGCGATTGTACAAACCGATGTAAGATCAAACTTCAACAAATGCAGGAAAGACGTGACCGGATAGAACAAAATGATGGAGATGTAATTTTTTTAATTTTATGGTTCCATTCATGTTATTTTGAAGAACTCTGGTTTAGTTCTTCAAAAAAAAAGAGTAGACGGGTCTTTCGGATGAAAGTGAAATAATTTCTTTTTTGCCTTACTATTTTCTTTAGACTGATCAATTACATCCTTACTAGTTAGGAAGCCATTGTGTAATTCTATATTAATTTCATTTAAGACTGTTGAGTCAAACCCAGCATTTTCAAATGAAATTTGCAAATATTAAAATATTCGTGTATGATTAATGTTTTGAGAATTTTGTAGCGCAAACTACAAAATTTCCGTATTTTTTTATTTTAAGTAATTATTTTTTGCGAAGTTCTTCGTACAGGCATATCGTTTGTGTTTTAATGAAGATGATAATTTGGGAGTAATTCTCGATGATGACATTGAAGTGACAAAGAAAGAATTGAGTGAATTACAGGAAATGCTGAAAAATTTATTTTTGAATATTTTGCATGTAAGTTAATTGACTAACTTAGAATACTATTTTGTTTTTTAAATTATTAGGAAAAATAAATATAATCTGTTATTTATTTCTTGCATAAATTTTACTGTAATGGAAATTTGAGATTCTAAAATGTAGATAGATTTATCAAATTATTGTAGTGCTTTACATGATATACATATCTCTGTTATTCCCTCATGATTCTTCCATTTTCATAACATCAATTGTTTTTTCAGAAATTAGTAGTCTTTCTCTCAGAACATCTTATAAAATATGAAACGGCTGGAAGAGACTACAACACTTATTGGTATCGATATATGATGGGACGATTTAAGGAGATATTATTGAGGGTTTGAGTTTTCGAGCTTTTCAAATTATGAGATGCTATGGCTTTCATTTCTGTTGAAATCCTATTTGTCGTCAAGTTAATATTGTTTACAAGACTATAAGTAGTCTGTGTTGTATCCTTAAAAACGTTTTCATATTTAACCACAATTTGAAATAAATTACTAAAAAAGCAAAGTTTTTATTAAAAAAAAACAGTCTTGTATTTTTTGTGATATGAAACTGAAATTGGTTTTTAGTACTGGTACGAACTGTTCGAGTTGAAGCAACATATTGATAAAGAATTATTTGTAACAGCAGGAATTGATCCAAGAATTTTGGAGGTTTACCGTCAATTCGCTGCTTTAAAGGCGTGAAATTTCTTTGCTTTTAAAATTATATTTTATGTGTTTTATAAGCTGTGAGATGTGTAGAAGAGACGATGTTCCAATATGACGCATGATATAAGGTAGTTTAAAATAAATTGCATTTCACGTTGTTACTAATTAGTTCTAGAGAAATGTAGATGCTAAGTTTATTTTTCACTGTACTGTGAATAAAGCTTGCTGATTTAAGATATTTGAAATGTTTTTAATTTACATAGAAGAAGGAGTTTATTTCCAATTTCTTTTTATTTAAAACATGAGAATAATATTGATTCTGAAAACGAATACATGTTTTTCGAATTCTCTACATCATTTATTATTCTAATATTATATTCCAAATTATGTAATTTAGTAGATTTGTGGGTTTCACCTTATTATTTCAACAATTAACAATAAGAGTTTGGCTGCACTCCATATATCAGTTTTTCTTTTTCATCGAGACAATAAAAAGAATTTGAGAAAAGCGACCTGAAGCACATTGCATGGCACTCTGTACTTGTTTTAGAGATTTAATTTTGATTAATTTTTTCTGGTGCCTTTCATGCTTTTGATTGCTGTACAATATGTTGTTTTAAATATTTCAAATCATGTTATTTGTTTTAAACAGTTGAGTATTACTGTTGATGATTCTCAAAAATTTAACTTATTATTATTGGTTATGATCTTTAATTTTTTTCTTTCTTTTACAGCCTTAAGCCAACCATGATCCATCTATGATTTTTACTGAAAATTTGATGAATTTTAAGTATATTTTTTAATCCCGCTTTATTTTGCTTATTTTATTTGTTCTAGCCGATTTATAATATTTCTAAATCACCGCTTTTGATTTTATAATTAAAATGTTTGGCACTTATTTTTTTTAGCAGCTCTGATTGACTCTGAAAATCCGAAATAATTTTCAAGCCTGAATTTTTTTTGACAGTGCCTAAATAATTGTATCTTCTCCTTAAAAGGTAGACCAGATCTTTTGTAAATGAATCTTTATTTATTGGTATAATGTATTATCAATTAAATTATTGTTGTTTGATGATAGAAGCGTTTGTCTATCTATCTACTCATGGAAAGAGAATCTCCTCTATCTTAATTGAATTGATACTTTTCATTTTTGGTTGAGCAGTACTTTTTAGTATACGAATTATAGATCTCAGAACTACGTGCACTGTTGTTGTGTTCATAAAATTAAAAAAAAAGTTGTTTTTGCTTTTATATTATGGACTTTTGCGGAGCATTTGAAATATAATCAAAAAAATATTGGTGCATAACTTCCTGTTCTGTTGTCTTTGAAGCGTTTTGAGGTCTTTATCATCTTTAAAAAGATCAAAATATTTTGAAACGCCCAAATCAAAATAGCGTTTAGGAAACACATTTTCAAAACGTGATAATTTTGGTTTGTGATTTTTTTTAGCGATCACTCTTTCTTAATTGAATTTTGGATTGATGCAAATAAAAGCGTAACATTGTGATATTCGGTTTAATTATCGTAATTCAGCTATTTGTTTGGAGAAATGCAAATTTTTTTCAATCAGCAGCTATGTAAATTTTTATTCGCCAGTAAAAATCTATCGAAATCCAAAATAAGCTCAGTGAAATTTTTGTATAACTTCTTCTGCACTCTTTTCGAACCACTGGATTATAAGGCAGTTGTTTTGAATTAAAGGATTTGAAGGATCTAAATTATATGAAATCAGCTTGATGTCTTCAACCAGAAAGAGTAATAAACTTGAGCGTTCAGCTTTATGGACACGAATTGAAGCCGAATTTCAGAATAGATCTACTACCACAGCTCGAGAACTCTCCAATAGGCCAATACCCATGGCAACAGAATCAGAAGCACAGGTTTTACTGCTTGTAATGGAATATATAAGTACATTTCCAATTTCCTATCCCGCAAACGGAATTACGCTTGTGAAATACTACAAATCATAAACAACGATTTATATATTTTTATATCTAAAAAACAAACTAGTGAATAGTTTACCCAAGCAATTACGTTAAGTGAAATGGGGGGAGATCGTTTACACCATTCTTCCACTCTAAAGCTTCCGTGCATAAACTACTGGGATTCTTTGCAAACTCTCTGACTAGTTAGTCAGAAATCGCCTCTTTCACATACCTCACCAGACCGTTTGTGTTAAATTAGATCCTTCCATATTAACATTTACGTGTAACACGTGCGGAAATGTGTAGTTGGAAGTGACTCTGACATGTATTTTCATGATAAACAACATCGGATAAGACTCCGTTTTAGAAAGAAGATGCGATCGTGAAGGGTTTCGATATTGAGAATAGAAAGGAAAACAACGAGGACATCAGCGCGGCTCGGTCATGTGAGCTTTTAAATTAATTTTATGGTTGAATTTGAAAAGCGATTTCGTTGCATGTGCATGTGTGCGTGCATAGAAATGAAAGTTTTGGTCCGAATTGGTGCATATTATCGGAGTAAGGCATACTTCTGCACGTTTTAGGAGAGCTTAGACATTGTTGCTGTCAGTTATCGCTATTAGATAGGTCGAACTGATAATATTAGATAGCCAGCCACTTATGGTGCCTAAAATGATGACATTTTTCAGAGTCTTAAACATGACTTTACTAGAAGACACATAAAACTGAGTAACTGATTATCGTAGTGATAACGTCTGAGTGTTAACATGAAATCGCCACGTTAAAAACATAGCTTATGTATATGTTGGGTGACACGCAACAAAATCTGATGATACTTATGCAAGGGTTGTTCAACTTTGACCTCTCATCCCTTCTTTGTACACGTATCATGAAGTTTGCCAGCTTTTTCGAAATATTCTAAAATGAATAGAAGATAATACAGTCAGAACTTGGGAACCAATATTCCTAAAATCTGATCGTGAGAAATAAGAAATATCGGGAAAAACAGATTGTCCTAGGAGTCGTTCACTTAGAAATTCAAATATAATGCTGGCAGTTATTTAATCAAAGTGTAACATTTATTTTTAAATTAACAATACAGTTCTTTCGGACGTCAACACTGCTATGGAAATTGATCAGTGGACACTGAAAACATCCATTCTTGGAATGAAGTCAACCATTACGGACCGAACATGTGAAGGTATTGTTACTTCTCAGTTATATACCGTTTCAAGCTGAATACTTGATTTAATGACTGAATGAAATTTTTACTCAGCAAAGAATTAGGAACTCTTCCAATTGTCTGTCCAACTTCTTCTAATTGCATAAATTTACTCTTTTTAATTCCATGGATAGATAATTCTTTTCAACGTTGTCATTTCCAAGTTTCGAATAAATTTTAGCTTAGAATTTTTGTGCAGAAACTTGTTTGAAAATCATTTAAACAATTTCTCATGTAATGTTTGACTTACTATATTGTGACATGAAAGAGATAAAGAAGGTAAGTGAAACTGTAAGATGCGGTAAGCTTTATTTAATGGAATTTTGAAAGACTGTTTCAAGCTATCTTAGAATCAGTCTTATTCTGCATTATAACTGGAGTAATACTTACTGGATTACATACATGATTTAATAGTTCAGATACTGAAGTAAGTCAGTGGAGCCTAAAAATGAATGATTGTGACCATGGAAGAAGTTATTCGGCTTCTTCATGTTCTTATCATTTTGGAAACCAGCGTTGTTGCGAATGTCCAAATTGTCTGGAATTGATTGTGGAAAGTACATCCTGGAAACCCGAAAAGCTCCGCATTTTTCACTGCAATGATTGCGGTGGCACAACAATTCGAGAAATTCGATCTTTGTATATTGATGGAAGACCTGAGCGTTCATATTCGATGAATCCAATGCAGCATGAATGGCACTGCTTTCATTGTGGCTTCTCTGATTCTGGCACTGTCTCGAGTCATAAAAATACTAACTTGCTTGATGCTAAAAATTTAGATAGCCATGAGCAAACGATATCCGGCACTTCGGTTCTCACTTCAGTATCCAATCTCTGCAAACACCCCATTCCATCGTGCTCTCACAAGCATAGCCTTCCAATACGATCGGACTCAACACAATGTAAATATAGCAAAAAGTGCAATGAAAACCTTGAAAAGCATGCAAAAAATGATAAATGTGACTGTCTGGTAATCAATGAATCTCAGATAGGATCATCATTTATGCAGAAATCGAAAATTGAAATGGGAACAATAAAGTGGGTAACAGATCAGGAAACATCAATTATCAAATCAACGAATGTTGCTACTACAATGGCATCATTGAAAGGTTTAAATTGATTTCCGACTCACTGTTTTGAGGTTTTTCTGAATTTATTTATTGATGATAGAAATTGCAATTAATTTTTACAACAAAAGCGAAAAAATTACTGCACAAGTTGTATCTGATAATTTTACAATTTCACTATAATGGTTATGGCAAAAAGCTCGTATGATCATTTCTGCTAGGTGACAAATGATAGAAAATTAATTAACATTTCATTGTAATATTTGGTACAACTCTAATTAATATGAGCATTATTTGAATACATAAGGGTAAAAAACTACCTCAGCATAGTTACTTGAAATTATAAAATAGTGTTCTCATTCTTTTTATCGGCTAATGAAAAAAAAAAATTTTCATTTTGCATTGATAGTCTATATAAATCTTGCTTCTATGCGCCGTGATAGTGATGTCTTCGTCTCACAACAATATTTTACCGCACAGCACTTCCTGAACATAATTATAGCTATATTAATCGGAGAACATCGGAATTTGCATAATATTAGAAAATAATCAAATGTTTATAGATTATGTTGTTTATCAGTACAGTACTTATTGTTTAGCTGACAAGTTCATATATTGGATTACTTCAAGTATAAAGTATAAAATTATAGCTTCACCTACACGGAAGAATTCACTGCCACATTTAATGTCAGCTGAGAAAAGCGAAAGTAAGTATTTTGCTGTAATTATTAATGACACTTTTGACTCCATGAAATGAACGTTGATATTTCAATTAATATTAAAGTCATAAAGAATTATCATGCTTTTTGCAGTTTTTAAATTTAGCCGGAATGTCTGGAATTTGCAGAAGATATTTTTGCAAAGTTAATTGAAGATTTTATCAGTTTTTGGCTTTAATTGGAAGTCTGGAATTTGTAAATGAAATTCTAAAATTTAAGCAAATAAGTTTTATTATGTATCATTAAGTAGATATTCTGAAACTAGTTTGTGAGTTCATCAAGTGAGCGATAACACTGAACTTTAAGAATTATCGTATTGCTTCCTGATTATTTTTTTAGATGGATTTTAATTCAATTATCATAAATCATGAAAATGATTTATGGCATAGCGACTTTCACAACTTTCACATTTTTAAATTATTTGCTTGACTTGATCTCAATTGTTTCCAACTTATGTAATTGTATATTTTGGTGCTATTAAAATACATATTGCATAAAACCGTAAGTAATGTAGTGTTGTCGACATTTCCTAAGAAATTATTAAGATTTGCAAATGACGGCACAGAAAACACAACCAAAAATGAAATTGCTGCGTACAGCAAAGCAGGCAACAGATTCAGTGCAAATTATTACTTGTAAAGGTGTTTCTATTATCATTATTCATTTTTAATTAACAACTTTTCTGGCAAATCTTTCTTAAGTAAATAAAGCTAATGATATGATAAGACGAGAAAATCAAATTATAATGAATTTAGATGAAATGGAATCAAACGAGCAAATGGGAAGTGAGAAATCATTAGACAGTGAAATATTGCTGACTCCTACAGCAGGTAGATGATATCTTTATCCCTGTATGAAATTGATACCATTACATTATTCTCTTTATAGTTGAAATGTCTAACAAACCACAATATAAATGTTAATGCTACTGGATAATTCCGAATTTGTCACCAATTTATCAAAATGGCTTTTATTTTTAAAGCATAAGGAATAAGTTCAGAATAGTTATTTCGATATTAGCCAAAGTTGGGAAAAAATTTAATAATCAAGTGGTTATTAACAGAAGTGACTGTTCCTCAACGGGATATGAAGTACAATATGGGAGCTGGAAGACTGTTTTCGATTGATCCTTCGCAAACCGCTCTCGAGCTAAAATGTGAAATGATGGAGATAAATAAGGAGTCTCTGAAAACAGCAAGACAGATAAGTGAAACAGGTATTCCTCGACTTTTTTAAATTCAAATCCATTTCATCATGTTGACATAGTCAATCCTTGTAGAGTTTAAAATTTTAAAAAATGGATTTCATAATTCTAAATAACGCAATTATTTTATACTTATTCAACTGTACAAATTTTTGCGTCGTTATTTTTATCAGCGTTGTAAAATGTGCGATGGATGTATTTGAGAGAAGAATGCAAATGTGCCTGTAAAAACATTCCTGAAAGCCTTTATGTTTCATAAAGAAATTATTTCTTTCTTCACAGTCTCAATGGAATAATAAATTTTGAAAATTACGGTTAAAAAGTTAAAAAACACTACAATATTTATTTCTGCTTTCATAATTTATTTAAATTTATAATGATTTGAATGGAAGAAAATTTGAATGCTTCTTTTTGCAGATCTTTCGAAGGTCAGAGCAGAATATACTGCACTCAGTGAGTCCAATATAGGTCTGTGCTGAAATTTCAATATGAAATGTTCTAATATTAGCCTGTTAAACTCGTCATCAGAAGCATAACAAACTTGCAAAATTATATGAATGATAATTGGTGATATATAAATTAATTATTTAAGATCTCAAAACAGCCGCAGAGAAGACAACAACGTTTTTCGTAGGTATGACCGATCATACCGCGAAATATGATGGTTAAATTTTCTTAGAATTATTTCTAATATTGAAAAAGTTTTCAAATTCATATTTCAAGATGGAAAATTGTCATTAGTTCAAGAATTGTAATTAATCCAAGAGTAATAATAGACGAATTCTCAAGAATTTTCTTGAGGGTGATAACAGTCTAATTATAGAAGATGCATGTTTCAAAAATTAACATGCTCACTGTAATTATAAGTGTACTAATTAACAGTTTTACAGTAAAGCGAACTACTTTCCATACAATCCAATTCTTTACATTTTCGAAAACAATGTTTGAGTTGATTTCGAATAATTATAAAGAATTTTTAAACAGTTTGACTTTTATGCAGTCAAAAGATGAAATATGAAATATTTTGATTTCTTGAGAGTTAAATTCCCGGTGAATTATTACTGAATTTTTAAAAATTTATTGACCAATTACTAATTACAATAGCATTGATAAATTGCAAAATAATTTTGTCATCTCTCGAACCAATTTTCTTATCGAATTCCTATTTCTTTATTTTTATCGAATATTTTGGACTGATTTGCTTCAGATCGTTACGTGGTAATGAATGTTGTGAAGAGGATTTCAGGAGAGAATGACGCGGTTCATAATTCTTCGGTAATTTGGTTCACATTTTAGAGCTACTTTGATTTTGCTGTTATCAAATTTTAAGCGAACCATTGTCTTGAACATTTTACAAATATAATATTTGATGGTTAAAGCTTTGAATCTGACGCAGAAGTTCCGAGATTATTTTTGGAAGTTTTTATTTGTCTAAAAACTTATTGAATCTGGAATCGTTTTTTGCCTCTTAATTAATGCAAACATGAATCTACCTAGAGTTTTTTTTTTCATTTGGAAATGCTAAAATTTCCATTTATTTAGATAAACAGCGACGATATTTCTACAGCTAAGTCGACATTTGTTGATATCACTAGTTTGTCATCGACAATCGATCATTTCCCAAATTCCAACCTTTCAATGGTGGATTTGAAAGCAGGTCGGCCAGATGACAGGAAATTTGATATCCGAACAAATACTACAAAATCTCCAGGGCTATGTGCCACACCGCAACCAACAGCGGGTAATTCCGCCGGATGCATTCCAGCATCCTATCATTATCGGACACCCACGCATACAGAGCTAAACATCTCTTCTCAACAAACGCCGCCATACATGGCTCCAACTATATCATCTACCATGAAAATGAAACAAATAATAAAACAGCGCACCTCTTCAGAATCGCCGATGTGGTCTTCTCGTCGACCACATTCAGTTTCAGAAGGATTACATACAGCAGCTTCTTTTACGCCATCAAGAAACAGAGGAAGTCATCGATCGAGACTGCGCTTATGGCAGCAAACGACATGGCAACCATTACCAAAAATATGTTACAAAAAATGCTTTGCTGATAATCTTCCTGAGGCGGAATTACTCACTAAGGATTGCGATATGGGAAACAAATTGAATCATCAAAATTTACGGCGAACATTATTACAACCAGTCGCTCGTCGTTCCTCACATCGTGGCGGTTTGTATCATAACTATTTAAAACAACGATATTGGGATCGAATAACATCAAAATATGACAAAATATCGCGGGATGAACGTTTCATGAAACAAGATCAACAAAGGACAGCAGCTTTAGCACCGACTGATGTCCAAAATTTGGAACAAACTGAATTGCAGTTGTCACCAAGAAAATCATGTCAGGAGAAAACTTCTCGATTTTGTTTTGACAGCGATCATTCACAACAACAAGATCAGGTAGATGATGATGCTTCAGCACTTGATCTTTGTACAGCTCAAGTTAAAACACCACGTGGTTGGCAAAGAACATTTTCACATGTGCCGTGCAAAATTTCACGTTTTGATCGCTTTGTACCACAATTTGTGGAGGCTGTTTCTGCACAGCTATGGATGACCGAAGCACCGTTAAGGCAATCACCATCAAAAACTGCCGGATATAACATTTGGCAACGGATTGCTTCCAATTCATCTCAGAAAATCTCTCGTTTGAACCGTTTCTGGAAACAAGAAATTAGAGATATGAAATCACAATGTATTTCACAACTGGAACAATCTGCAGATCAATTTATTTTAACGGAATCAAGAATGCTTCGAGGATTGATTTGGAAACGAACAGTTTTCAAATCAGCGCAGAAAATTCCACGTCTCGATCGGTTTCCAGTTGCAAACAATTCAGTAACGGATACCTCTCAAGGAAGTTTTTTTGAACGAGAAGTTTCACTGGATTTCTTTGTAACACAATCACCGCTAAGATCTGTCACTTCACCAAATCCATCACAGAGAGTTTTATCCTATGAGCAAGCAAAACTAGCAGTGCCTCTACGAGAAGCTTCTAGCGAGAGCAGTCGTTCGTCTTTACATACCGTTCAGTTACAATCACTGAAGACCTTATTCACTGAAAGTCTCTCTTCTGAAGAACTATCAGAGAAACATTCGAATTTCACAGATAAACCAGTGCGTAGGGCTACCATTTCGGAATTTCTCAAGAAAAATGTTCCATTAAGTTTATGTACGTCTGAAACACAGTCATCAGAGGGATCGATATTACCTGGTATAATATTCTACGACGAATCGCTATGGAAACGATCTAAATCTATACTGCAAAGGACTTCTCGCTTTGAGCGTTTTCAAGAAAGAACAACAAAATCGTTCGGAGCACCTGCACGAGGAGCTTCTCGTTTTGATCGTTATCAAAAAAATACTTTATCAATTTTAAGCACCCCTCGAGCAAATTCATCCTTTGCATCGATTCTGCCTGACACTTCGTCTGCTGAACGATCGTTGAGCGAACGATCAAAATCAATACTATCTCGGAAATTTTCTCGTCAAAGTTGCGCTTCACCTTCACCTGGATATTTCACACCTCCTCCATGCATTTGGAATCGATTAACGGTGGAATCAACAAAGAAGAGTTCTCGTATGGAGCGCTTCCAAAATTCTGCTTCATTGGACTTATGTACCGCTCAAAACCGTTCGTCAAGTTTATCCCTGTTTTCTGATATTTCGCTCATTGCATCAAGCAAACAAATAAAAGCCGTTCCGTCGAAAAACTGTTACCGTTATTATCCAGGTCAAGGAGTTACTACAGACACATCCGATTCTTACCAAAAGGAGAAAATGTTGGATAGAAATTCTCGTTTCAAACGTTTCCAGAAAAATTTTTCACCAAATTTATATACGGCACAATCTACTTCCTCACAAAATTCATCAACCGAAAAACAAACAGAACAGGGAGTACCTCATAAAAATTCATGTCACAAACATTTTAAAACGGATCATATTAGTTCTGAAGTAATGGGTCGAGTTAATGGCCCGTATGAGGACCATTCTCTTTGCAATGGTTCTCCAATATACTCATCGCTTACTGCCCAACATCGGTCATCAGGACAAGCACTGACCTGCCACTCACCAGATAGTATAGATTCATGTAGGAATATGTACCTAACCTACAGTACTACACAGACCGTAGATTCTGACAGGAACAAGGACCTGAAGCAGAAAATCAAGTATGAGGAACAATTTGAGAATCCTACTGCCATTAGTTTAAATATGTTTAACGGAATTAGAGACGGAAAGAGTAGTGAATTATGGAACGGTACAACAACACAGCAAATACGAGAGATTTCACATTTAGATCGAATAGAAGGACAGCATTTTGGTGGTGAGTAAATTTCTCTGATTTCATATTTTGATCATGAATAGAAATTGTTTGAAACAACTTTGAAGCACTTTCTGTTAAACAAACGGATGGAAATAATTTCTTGAAAATAATTTTATTAAACATGCAAAATTAAATGCTTCATTATTCATCAAATCTTATGTCAGAGTTCTTGAAAATTTGCAGTTCGAACACTTTCAGCAGAGAAGAAGCTGTCAAGATCACAACTGCTTGTCGATGGTAACACTTCAGCTACTAAAGGTATAGGATATCATATATTACATGTAAAAGATGAATTTATATGGATATCAGATTACTAGTAAACTTTTGCGTTATCGATAGTTGATGTTAACATTCCGAGGTGTTGTGTTTTGGCTTTTTTTCGTGATTAAATTTTTAACTGTAAATTTCTATCTATAAGAAACTCTTCTGTCGAATCACATTTTATTCGATTTGGTATAATTGACTTTAGATATAAAAAATCAAGCTTGATCCAGTCTCTGTAGAAATTTCTTTAATAACAAAAACATAATTTCATTTTCATTTTGGTGGTCTTTCAGACTTATCTTTCAATGATGATGTTCTACGAAGGACAAAACCAAAAGATAGTGGAGGTATCATGAAAGGTTGAAAAGAATTTATTAATTAATTCAAACGCTTTAAATTTAAAGTAACCCCTTTAATTAACTTTTTTGATAATAGTGATCATTTTCCTCTCACAAATTTGTTTAAAATTTTTTACTTTTCTTTACTTGTCATTTATTATATTTATAAACGCACAATTAATGTTTCCAGCTATTTAAAAATTTTAAAATAATTCAGAAGTACAAGAAGGAATAGTTAAAGAAACGGGCTCACATACTGCTTCCATTCAATTACAAGGAACTAATTCAGAACGCACGGCACCTGGAGACATCGTTTCGGTATTTTTTTTAAAATTCATTATGTAAAATGTTGGAACAAAAAATGGATTGAATTTATTTCGGAACAATTTTAGAACCGTATCATTATAAAACATTTAGCATTTGGAGAATTACTTCTAAAAAAAAATACAAAAGTACTTCTAAATTTTAGAGCAATCGTGAAATACACATTGCATTGCAAACCAAATTTCAACCGATGAAGCTCTGTTTGAATGGAATTACAGCATCCGAAGAAGTTTGCATTCAACGAATTGTCGTAAATGGTAATGAAATATACCACCGAGAACTTGACAACAACAATTGCAAGCAGCTTTTGCGTAACAAAAGCGCCTAACCAAATGATACAAATGATTATTATGCTTCCTTTACTTCATCAATAATAACAACTGCCTATTTCTGTTTTCAAGCACTTAAACAACAGCTACCTCACGTCAATGTGTAATTTTAACGTGTATTTATTTATACCTATATTTTAACTTAGAAATTCTCTCCTATGTTATCTTTGGAATGATATAATCACAGTAATGGGAAGATATTAAGGGTATCAAGAAGAGAGAATTATAGTCCTATTGTGCATCATATTGTGCGCTATATTGACGAGTTTGCTGAAAAAGCATGCGTATTAAAGTGAAAATTAAATTGAATGCTTTCATTTAGGTTGAACAAAAGAAGGGCTTCTTCGTCCACCCTTCACGGCTATAAATATTATGGCTATCTCTTAACAACAATATAATATGAGACACTTAATTGGATCGAATTTATATTCTATTGTACCAAATTTTTTAATTTTTAACTATATCGGCTGTCTTCATGACTTCCTCTGAACGTTTCATTTCCCGTAATTTCTGTGCATTTTTTCGACCATACATTGAATGACGAGTAGGCAGTGCAAGTATCGTGAGATAAACTAATTTTTGGATTCACACAAATTGCATGATCGATGAGTGTTTTCTGTGGAGCCAGTAAAACAAAATCCTCGCGCACGAAGTGACATTTCAGTATTGTTCATCAAAATTTAATTTAATTTAAAAAGTTTCCATATGAAGAAACACTGTAAGTAATTTACTCCTTTTTAAGCAAAACGAGTAAATTTAAAATAAAGTTTCGAAGTTATGAATAATTTCAAAGAGATTCGATGTCTGTAATTGCATATCGTGCTTTTCTTTTCACTTTAGATATTTTATCAATTTCAAAGTTTCTTGCGCATACATAAATTCTAATCTTCCGGTATAATTGATACGCCAAAAATTCTCGATCTTTCATAAACATAACGTTTGTTGTTGCGTACTAAAATTTTTTTAAATTTTCAAATTTTTAGGCATTCTGTTCATTCTTCTCTCACGCTTACTAACTGTTTTCTTCTATCTAACATCTTTTCTCTCTTCTGCCATTTTCATTTTCATATAAATCTTCAAGACTATAAAACTTTTTCATTCATTTCACCTTGCTTCTACCAAAATATCGCTAGTTACAAAAATTTCGCGACAAAATTCTCAGTTAATCTTTCAGCCAGTGGGAATATATTAAAACAAAGTAAACATTATTTCGCCTTCACTGAGTATTGAGCAGCCGCATGCATTCTGCATCCTGCATCCTGCATTCTGCACTACTAAATGAACTTGTCCTAGAAGTTTAATATTTAGATGTAACAAACATGAAAAGGTATTCATGAACTATCCAGATGGTTGTCATTGATTAGTACTGCTTGGGGTATTTTCTCTCCTCTCGTCATTGTCATCAATCGTTAATTTGTTAAATAATTTAATAAATGAGCAAAAGCTATGAACAATTACCGTAGTGGCACTACTACTTCTATAATTGACATGGAACTTATGTGACAAAGAGCATAAATGTGCCAGGTAGAGATTAGAAATTAGATATTTTCAAACTGGATTTCTCCAATCTCATCTTTTCGCTTCATTCTGTCCGAACGAATGCTCATTGCATGAAATATTTTTCTCTCTTATTTATTACTTTTTTTTGCAGTGTTTTCAACATTGTAGAATAGAACTGCAATCCAATTTCATAAATTTTTTCCTTGAATTGAAATCTATAAAATTTGTAAACAGCAAACAATATAAGTTATGAATGATTTTTTGCATAAAAAATAATTTCTAAGCAATAATTGTACTGCAAAAGAAGTATATTGCAACCTAACAAACCTGAAATTCCTTTTTTTGGCTATCTGACATCATAAAACAGTTCCTTAACTTAAAGTTTCCCAATTATCTGATAGAATATCAGTTCAATATTTAGTTTGTAGTATTAAACTGATATTCTATCAGAAAAAAATGTCTTCCGGAAGAGTCTGAAATCTATCATTTGTTGTTTAAGAAAATTTTTTTGAGTGATATCTAAGGTTCTAATTTTTAATTTGTATGTAAGTATATATAGGCATTACAGGAATGATATGAGTTGTATTTATCATTTATTATAAATTTCAAGAACATTCCAGATATCTTTCAAAAAGATTACGAAAAAATTATTAGCTTTTTGAATCATCTTGAATTTTATTAATTTCATTTTTTATATGCACTTATCGGTTCTTCTACTGAACCAATCTGAAATGAATTGCAGGAGATAAGTTAATTGTACCTGATGAAAGAAACTTATGTTATTCTACTCGCAACACTGTTTTGTCAAACTGTAAAAGTACGGTTTTTCTTAATTCATCTTTTTAATGTTGCAAAAAAAACGCGAAATATTTTTTATTCCGAATGAAAGTTGGCATCAAAAGTTGGCATCATCATTCATCACTTTTTGGCTTATATAATTAAACTTTAGCTTGAATTTACATTCAGATAATTCTAAATTATTTTGATATTTTAATTTCCACATAATTTATGTAAAATTTATATACAGGCGACTCATTCTAATTCCTAACATTTCTTATTTCAAATCCTTCTTCAAAAATTTCATTTGATATTTCGTCTCATCAGCGCTTCATTTAATGACGAAAAATTTTCGTTGTATTTTTCATAAAACTTTTAAACTCGACAAACTTTTTTTTAAATATGCTATCTTTAGACAATAATAGCTGGTTTTCTCATCATTAAAGGCCCTTTTTACATGGAATCAAGTTTTTCGCTTCTAGTTCGTTGTCTTCTCTGACGGATGTATTTGTGCGGTAATAATGCACTTTCCGCAAATAAAGTAGTAGAAGAAAAGTAAGACATGTAAAACATTAACCAAAAAGAGGCCTCGTAAAAGGACTGCTTCTGAACTGGTTCCCTTTTTAGAGAAAAGCTCAATGATGCGATCCATTGCGCAAAGCGCATTTAGTACTACAATTAATTAACAGTGCTTTTAATACTGCAATTAATTAATGCTGACGCTACAGGAACATTTATTCATTTATTCAAACAGTTTCACTCAGTTTTACTCATTAACTATGGAATTTAATTTATTATTAATTCTTTTTCTTCAGGCTATAGCGAATCTTTTTGTCAGAATATATAAATACATGATTATTAATTACCCATCACTTAATTACAAGCCTTCTCTTACTTTTTTATAGTGCCAGGATTTATTTTCATTGGTTTCCCCATTTCTGGGAAGCGCTATTGTTCCTAAAACTGGAAAAGCTACTAATGGTGAAAACTGGATACAGGTATTTTCTCACAACTTATTCAATCAACTTTAACTTCTTAAGGCAAAATATGAATTGTTTCACTGTGCTTTTATTTTTTGATAAAATGCTGGGATGAATTTTGCTTACTTTTTTCTTTGCCAAAAATTCTTCTAGCTTCAAATTATATAAACTATGTTTTATTCGTAGAGTATTTTGTTGTTATTACATATATTTTTTTTTGTACCTCTCGGATATGAAAAGGAAGAAGAAATATGGCAGCTAGCTTTTTATTATTTTAGAACTTTGTCAACTTTGGCACCAATATCGGCCAAGCGCTACTTCAAAGGCAAATTGATCAGTCAGAATCCCGGGTTTGTTATGTTCATTTTTTGATTAAGATTGAATTAATACAGATTCATTCAAATAGCAATTTTTCAAGGAATGACTTCTTCACAAACCTGATTTTTAAAAGTTTTGATTAAAAACTGAAAGTGCTGGTTCATAAAAATGGATTCGTAATTAGGGACAGTTTTTTAACTCAGTCAAAAAATTTTTTAATAACAATCTTTTCTGATCTACTAACAGCTAATCATTTGTGATTATTCAGCTCATGCGATTCTTGTATATTCCTTAACCTCCTCCAGGAACAACCTATCCATATTTTAGAACAGTATTGGTGGTACTAAGAAAGAAGTTAGATAAAAGGAAAATGTCAAGCATTGGAATATTTGCTTGTATTGTAATCCAAAGTTTATTTCTTTACTGAATTGTCGCTCTAATCCGTATGATTTAAAAATTTAAATTTTTTTTTTAAATTTTATATTACTACTGTTCATTCATTATCGTCTTTATTTGAAAGCATTAATCTTTGTTTTATTTACAAATATTTGCATATTCAAAGTTTGATTTTTTTTTATGTTTTTAAATCATTTCTTTATTGTATCCGTCTTTGATGAACGCAATTTTGTCAGTGTTACGAAAATATTGATGGTGAAATCAGATGATATTACAAAAAAAATTGCAAGTGATAAAAACTGTGTGTTAGCATTATATTATGCATTCCTGACAATGACATATTACATGATAGCATATCAAAACCGTTTATGATAACATATCACAACCGATTACTCTAAGCTTTAACTCAGCCACGATAGTTTTATGCACATGGAAAACAATAAACAAGCTGATAGAAATAAATTAGGTTATGATAAGCAGATTTAGGTCAGAATGATTTGTTCTGATCTCACTGTTTCATTGAAATTGGAAGCTGTTTAGATTTCTTACTGTGCTTTGGAAACTTTTAGGAGCAAGTTCAGTTTTTTTAAATCAGTAGTTGATCAGTAATTTATATAATCCGATATGAAGAAATTAAGTCATCAAGACATTTATTCTTCAAAAATTCTAACTAAAATTGGATAAATTGGTCGTCGCATATCAGCTGGTTAAAATTCGAAAGTTGAAATAGTTTAATGACCATTTCTGAAGACCTATAACCATCACAGAGTTATGGTAAGAATTGAAGAGTACAGGACATTCCTCGAAAGGATAATCACTAATGAGTGGTAGAGGATTAAATATTTAAGAGGATTTTGAAACTCTTTCTTCTCACTTCATGAAATGCTGCAAGAAGAATTGAAAATCTTTATACAATAAGTCAGCTTTGCTGTTCTGTTCACTATTCAAAATTATATTTGTTCTTCTTTCTTCCTTATTAGTTTCATAAAAATCCCGTGGTATGAGATGCTTCATTTTTTTCTACCAATTAGTATCGTATCGTTTTACTATCTCAAGGATAACGATGTTAGCACCAGATGGTTACCCATTTCCCTATATTATGTGCTTGGCGTAGATTTCAAGAATCACTTTTCATTGTTCAAAAATATATTCATTTTTTACAGTATCAAATATATCATTTATTTTTATTTATTTCTTTAGAACTTTGAACTATTTTTTCTGTGACTTTGTGCAATTTTTGCACAAATTAACTTTTTCGTTTTTCCCTCAGACTTAATACATTTGTCGTGCTAAATTCAATGAAGTATTCAAGGAAAAGGAATTTTCAAGCATAAGTTTTTAAAGCTTAAGCACATCGCTAACTAAGTTTAGTTTTAACAAACTTTTTAATTTTGGTTAATTTTTAATTAAAAAACTATCTTCAGAAGAAAAATTGTTCAAGCACTACTGGAATCTCATTGAGTCTGTTGCTCACAAACGGTTCTGATCTTTCACTGTGACAGTCTTCCAAAAATTATCAATTTCGGATTGTTATTTTCTCATGCAGTGCATTTCTAATAAAACTTTGATCCATTCCTTCCTAACTTTCAGCCGCTTCATACCATACTTTCTAAATCACCAACACCGATTCCACGAATCGCAGCTGTACAATCAACGACAGTGACGAAGATGAGCGATGGGAATGATTACAGTTTTACTGTTAAAAATTTTCATGGGACACGAGCATCGCAATCTTCGCTAAATCATTTCCCGATAAATAGTGGTTCGTTAATGTAAAATAAATTTCTATAAAATTATTTTGAACAATTTGGAAATGAAATAAATGCATGCATATTACAATTGAAACGCTGTTTCCTAAGATAAGATAAAAGATAATCAAATTCTAATTGCTAAACTTCAACTTATAAATTGCAACTACAATCTTTATTTCATATTATTCCTCGTGCTTATAATTAGTATGCTGAAATTCAATAATTACAAGTAAAAATTACAGTTTAAAAGCAACACAAGATTATTAGATAGATTGTGTTTGTTTCTTTCTTTAGCAATCTAATAGTAAACAATAGATTGGCTTATTCTTTTGTATTTCAGCATCACAAACATTCAAAATTTTGCAAAATCAGCAATATTTCGGTCAACAGCAACAACCACAAACATTTCATTCTCACCGACTACAACAGCAGTAAACTCAGTCTTTCACAAACTTTGCTTTTCTTCTCAGTTTGGCATGCATTTTACAACAAAATTAATAGTGGACAGCAAATATGCTAAAATAGGCAATTGGACAAATGCGCCTATATTGTGAGAGAGTGCAATCTTTACATGTAATTTTTTAGATCTGCATCCACATTTCAAGCAGTATCGCCTATGTCTAATAACGTAATAAAAAAATCAGCAACCTTAGGACAAGAGGTTACTAAAGTAAGTTAATTTAGTTACACTTCATATTTATTGCATTTGTTGTATTCTTCATTTATTAATTTAAGATTTTCTAGTTGCTAGGCGAGATAGCTCAATATTCGGATGTTCACCGTCAGCAAAATCAGAATTATGGATTAGTGCAGAAATTACTCAACATTTTCTTCAACTCCATGTCTTCCGATTATAATAATGATGATAATCGCACGGTATGCATTTGTTGAAAATTCTGGATAAAAAGTTAGGATTCAACAGTCACTGACAGATTGTTGACAGTAATAGTGAATTTACCTGATTTATAAAATTGTATTAAATGGTGTGGTATGATATGATGATAGCTCAGTGAGTAATTTCTCGATGAGTTTTCAGCAGCCATTACGGCCAATGAACGATGGAACAGAAATAGGTCGTAACAGACCATTTGCAAAAAATTTATTTGAGAGTGATATTGTTTTGACTGTAGATCAAATAAAAGGGTATGATTATAATTTCATTTGTTTTTTTTTAAACGGACCGGCATGGCATGTCATCTAAAGCACTTGATTAGTAGATAATAATATCATCCGATATGATATTTGGTTGACACTTTAACTCTTGTATTTCATGTTTGTGACCAAGCATTTCAATTTATATTCACATAGTAGTTTAAGCATAGTAGAAAGAGATCAGTTTCCTCCCTCTTTGATTCCTTTCTGAAGTTCTTCTCTTTTTGTTCCTTTAGTTCAGGAAAAGTTAGCAGTTTTTGTTCACATAAAGAGCAACTGTCGAACTTGGACGTGAGATGTATTTATTTTTGGGATTTTTTTCCACTTACACATCTACCTCCAGTACTATATGATTCCTCATCAGTGAACTACAAAAGTTTGAACCTGTGACCTAATGGAGTTTACCTATGTGCAAAGTTTTGGATTTCCGGATTGCTTGGGCAAAGCGAGCCCACAAACCCATCGGCAAGGACACATATCCAGCAGAAAAGGATGAAGAAAGTATAAAAGCTCCCTTCTAAGCTCCCTCAACTCGCGATGTGCAAATTTTGGTTCCCACTGTGTCTGAACAAAACTCTCCACTTGACATTTTAATCTTTATGAATAAATTTACAGCCATAGAAGTGTACTGATTCCAAAAAATGCGCTATGAAAAAACTCCCTCATAATGCTGTGAAATAAAAATTGGATTGTTTTTAATTTTTGAAAAAAATTTGACAATTTTAATTGAGCGAATGAGTAAATGAAAGATAATAAAGAGTACTGTCTTCTTTGGCTTTAAAAATAGCATGATTAAAACTGTTCCCTTTTGCTGCAATAAGGATGATAGATTCTTTTAAGGATACAATAATTATTTTTAAATTGTAACTTTTTTGATCACAAAAAGAACAGAAAAAAGATATTTTTACATTTTTGTAATTTTGAATTGAATTTACTTAAATTTAGAATTGCAATGGCAGGAAAAGAACAACAAATGAGTAATAATCATCGAAGAATTAGACGAAAAGTCATTACAGGCAGCGTTTATCGATGGCCAAAAAATAACAATATACCATATGAATTTGCTTTTTCTGATGGTTCGCTTCTTTATTTGATATATATTTGAAATGATTGGAATTAATCTTCAATATATTTGTTGTGTTTCATACGTTGTGCAAATCTTTCTGCTTTTTTTTTAATTGAACTTTGAAATTTAAATTTGTTTGCAGAGACATGGCGTAATATAATACGATCAGCATTGTACTTTTGGCAACGCGAGACATGTATTCGATGGCAGGAAAATGGTCCAGGCTATGATCGAGTGGTTTTCTTCCGTGGAAGCGGGTTCATATCTTAAAATTCCACATAAATTTCTATAATTTTCAATTAATATTTTCAGTCTATCTGCAAAATTTGATATCTGATTGGTAGATAACCATTGGTATTATATAATTAAAAAGAGTATTGCAAGAAAGTGTCATCAAAGAGTAATTTAATTAACATTCCCTCTGAACTGTTTGAATTCTTCATCATACATTCTGTTAAGATGCTATTCGAACGTTGGCAGAACAGGCGGTCATCAAGAAATATCAATTGGTTATGGTTGTGAAAATGTATGCATAAACCTTTTTTTTAATCTTTTACGAAAAAAAAGTTCAAAAACTTATAACAAGAGGAATATTTCAATAGCTGTTATTCCGTCTGATTTATGTTTAGATTTCATTAACATGAAAGGTGAGCGCCCTAGCATTTTTCATAAAATAAAATAAAATAATCGCATGAAATTATTCAATTAGACAATATACTTACCAATTCCAGCTTGGTATTATTGCTCATGAAATTGGTCATTCGTTAGGTTTTTGGCACGAACAATCTCGACTAGATCGAGATCAATACATCAAATTAAAAAATCAATACATTGCTCCTGGTACCGAGGGTAATTTTATTAAACGATCCTATATGGAAATTGAAAATATGGGAGTACCATTTGACCTCGGTTCTGTGATGCATTATGGACCAAATGTATGTTTGCGTGGAACAATTTTGCATTCAATTGATCCTTTTTACACAATTTCACAAATCTCTGAACCTTCTTTTATATGAAATAATCTTCAAACCTATTCAAATTATAATGCATAAATTATTGAAACAATATATTATCTCATTTAATGATTTGTCTTGAAAAAAGAATTCAGGCATTCTCGGTTGATTCAAATCATACAACGATTGAGACGGTGGATAAAAGGTATAGTCATACGATTGGTCAAAGATACGGTCCATCGTTTATAGACGTAAAGCAGATGAACAGACTTTACTGCAATGGTAAGTTCATTTTTTCCATCTTATATGAAATACAAATTCATTAAAATGAGACAAATGAAATCGGTTTTTTTTAAACTAAGATTTAAGGGTAGGAGAAGTAGCCAATACTGTTGACCGACCACATCCATGCCTTTTTTTCGTTCGTTTTGGATTCTTTTTGTAATTTAAATGTAGCTTAGTTATTTTTTAACTTTTTATAACCGCACGATTTTACAGACATATGCGCAGCTTCGCCATTAGCATGTGCGAATGGTGGATATCCCAACCCGAACAACTGCCGATATTGTAAATGTCCAACTGGATTAGGTGGTCCAACATGTACTGATGTTCAACCAAGTATATAAATTATTTTGTTAACTGTTACCTAAAATTCCTCTCTTTAATTTCAATAGTTTTATGAAATTAAATTCCTAATTTGGAATATTTTTTTTCGAAAGAATGAAGAGATAAGAGAAAAAAGTGCTTTTGTGTTTAATTTAGGTACCTGTGGTGCAGAACTGATTGCAACAGGCATTTGGCAACAGCTCAATTATAAAGGCTCTCAAAAATGTTACTGGAAAATCAAAGTGGGTTCATTCATTCTCTTATCTGTTCGAAATAAACTTATTAGTTTCTATTTCTCCTTTCACATCAATCAATTTGATCTTAATTTAACATTAAACTGCAAAAAAAATCAAATTATTTTGTAATTTTTAGGCAAATAATGCAAGAATACGAATTAAAATTGAATCGACAAATTTTCGGTGTGAAGCAACATGTCGAGCATATGTGGAAATAAAACACAACTCCATGTTTGAGCAAACCGGATTCAGGATATGGTTTATTTTTATTTTTAAATCTTATGCAATTCTTTTTCTCTTAATCTTTGAAAAACAAGCATTATCAGTCTTTTATGTTTGAAGTTCATAAGAAGTGCGACGATTTCGTTTCACCTAACATTTATTAATGAACTGAAATTTACAATTTATGTCTTTCGATCACTGGTAATGCAATTTTTGCTGAAATTTACTCAGAATTTAAAAAATAAAAATGAACCCTGAAATATTACTTACCTTTCTCAGAAAGTTTTTTCCTTCTTTGGTTTATCTATATAGTTGCGGAAGTGATGAAGTGAGTGTGTTATCAGAGCAAGCAGAAGCTTTAGTTATTTTTGATGCTACAGAACTCGGCCAAGATGGATCATTCAGTTTAAGCTATCTCCAAGGTTAGTTCTACCATATCCAATTTAAATTAGTAAATCAATTAGTTTGCAATCATTTTCATGACTTGCATTCTACAGAAATTCAAGTAAAAATGGAGAACGAATTTTTGATACTATTTTTCAGAATATCACAATTACAGATTCCAGTAAACCGTTAATGAAATCGTCGCCATTGGAATGGGTACCGGGAAGTGAGAATCGTTTATTCCGCGGTCTTGAGATTGATAAGAATGGCTTGATAGAGAAAATTGTTTTGAATGCCATCCCAAAAATCAGAGACCCACAACAACCAGTCGCATCGATCGCATCTATTGTAACAGATTTCGCCCTAAAAAAAATTCTCGGATAATGAGCAATCTACTGAATATTTTTGTACTTGAAAATAAATTTAACAAATTCATCTAACTATTGCTCTACTGAGGCTGTCGAGTTAAATTAACATGAAAAGATGACAAGTGATATAGCAAGAAATGCGCAATGGATCTGTCAAAGGCGGTCTTATTCATTGCAATTGATTAAATGTAATGAGCTATGATCAACGATTAAAAAAAGTGAAAAAAGACTATCATTGGAATTCATAATTTTTTAGCAAATACTTCCTATATTTTAACATTTGACTTAAAAATTTTGCAAATTTATACGAATTTTTTATGATTTTAGAAGATTAGTAGGAATTTGAAAATATTCAATCGGTCATCAAGTTTACGGATAGTTTTCTGGTAGTATGATTCCTGGAAGAAATTGCAGTTTTGCTTCCGTGTTGAATTTCATTATTCTGACAAAGGATTCCGTGTGTAATTATATACGTTCAAATCCACGAAACAAAGAAATGAAAGCAATCAGAGTGCTATTTTACCAAGAGGACAAGAAACATAAGAAATAATAAGAGACAAGCGGAGTCTACTTTGTAACTTCGGTACTTTCTGTAAAGTAGCACCAATTACAGTACAAGTACTTGGGAAAAACGGAAGAAGTAATCGGGAAAAAAAGATTACAAAAGTGGTTATGCTTGAGATCATAAAGACTTGAATTTGAGAGATGAGGAAGTCATCTATGTTAAAATTTTTATTACAGAGTGGAGAGAAGAGCAAAAGTGTCACACTAACCTGCTATTATCACACCAAATTCCATCCCTCTTAGTGTAAGTGTACTTCTCGGGCTGAAATCCACCAATGACTCTTGCACAATTATCCGGAAAATTACACCCCAATATCGACTACAAATTGATCGCGTTGGGATTTTGTTATTTCGTAGCGCGTCTGCAGATTCTGGATGCGAAACTTCGTTGCCGTTTTCTCTGGGAGTATTCTTTGTTTTCTTCTTTTGTAGGATATTGATGGAGTCCTGAGGTACGTTGGGACCAATTTTCTCTAATTAGCTACCTCTCATGTACTCAGGTAGCAGTTTCTATGCATCTGATTTTTATTGGCGTATTGATTTGATCAGTTCTACAGATCAAAGTATATGCGGAAGTACGAATAATGGCACTGTCAGAAGAAGTGATCGCACGACGACTTAGAGCCGTTGATCAGAGTTCAGAATCGATTCAGACGACATCTATGTGGATATTACATCACCGCGATTTAGCTGCACAGTTTGTGAACTGTTGGACAGAAGTGTTCAGAACTGGTAAAATTCTTACTAAGTTTGTTCAAAGTGATTTTCCTTAAAACTTAAATTTACGAGTTTTTATCACTAGATTTAGGTATGCCAAATCTACTGTTTTAAGACTCTCAAGTTTATTGCTTTGAACGTTTCTCAAAATAGGGCTCAGGTTAGTGGATGAAATTATTATGAAAACAATGAATGTTATACAGTTGATCATTTCCTGTGTTTCAACAAAAAGAGGTGGTATCAGTACAAAGATTACAGGATATTTAGTTTCTATACGATGGTTCTTTGGAATTCCCCTACAGTACCAATATTCCTCTCTACGTTTATAAATATAAAATTGACTACATTAAGTCACTCCATTTTTTGCTAGAATGGAAGTTTTTTACCGATCATATTTTGATGACCACAATCCTGACTTTATAAACACTGTGTTGAGGAAAAAAACTCATCGTTAGTCTTTCCTTGATTTAAGATATAACATGTTTCATCTAATACTTCTCATTCAGTTTTATATGATAATTTCATTTTTCTGCGACCTTCGTTTAGAAAGTTTTATATTATCGTTTTTTTTTTGTTTTTACCGTTTCTTCAACTATACGTAATCTTAATGTCACCGGAGAGATTTAATTGATGTGCTGACACTAGGTTATTGTCATAAAAAATAGGAAAACTGTTACAAATTAACTTTTCTTTTGCAATTTGTGGCTTAAATATAGTGTTTGCAGACACAGGCATATTGATCTTTATTTGTTATCACTGTAAAACAGTATCAAGTCTTAATTTTGTCAACATATGAAGCATTCATATTGCTTGAAATAATGTGTCAACATATAAAGCATACTGGAATAAAAAAGCACCACTGCTTTTTTTGATTTTTGCAGTTTGTATTCTTTCAGCTGCCGATCCTTTACAAATTGCTCTGTTCTACGTAGCAAATGATGTTTGCCAAAAAGCAAAAAAAAAGGGCGATTCACATGTCCTGCTTCAAGCGTTTGCACCACACTGGGTCAATGCCATTTCGTATTCCAGGTACTTTTTCTTTGAAATAAATCTTAAATAATTTCAACTTAAAAACATTTGCAAAAAATTAATCAGATTAAAGTTTGAGTGTTTTAATCTTGCTTCAAATTCATTTTTTCTTCACTCTATTTTCTTGATATTGTAGAAGTATTAAAGCAGGTTTTCTGAACTTTTGTATACACATATTTGCTTTTTGCTAGTTTTTCTTTTTTTGAATTGATTTGTTACGGAGTGGTAAAACAAGCATATATTGTTTACCTATATCATATTTTGAAAAAGCTGGAGTTCAAGAATTAATAATCATATTATTCTGAAATTCATCTGATATCAATAATTTTCAATTTTAGAGGTAGTGAAAACGTTCAAAAAGCTGTTAGTAGAATACTTGATATATTCGAAGAGCGTCAAATTTATTCAAAGTCACAACTGGCTGACATGCGTGCTGCACAGAGTAACTCTTTTATTTTTCATTGTGCCGTAATTAAAACGTTTCAGTTTTTTGTTTACTGTTAGCAGCTGATTCCATAAAAAATATATAGACTTACGTACTTTATTTGTTCTATAAAACTTTCCAGACTATGAAACTAGAACATTCAAATTAGGTGTCATTGCCAATGTAATTAAATCCGTATGATTAATCTTTCAGTTTTTATATTTAATTTACTGCATTTTGCTTTTTGAATTTGCAAATTAATTAATTTAGATGACAGCAATGAGTTGGAAGATAATACACTAATTGATTTCGATATTGGAATTCTAATACGTGATGTTGAGGGTTATCATAAAGGAAATTTGGTTATGGAACGCGCAAGAGATTTACTTTCTAGAAGCGACTTCAATTTTAAGGATAAGATAAAGAGTCGAATGAAAGGTAGGGTAAAGTTTCAAAATATATTAGCTTTATGAACTCCTAAAGTTCATAAAGCTAATATATTTTGAATTTGTCTATTCAGTTGTTTAAGAAGTTTATGACTGCTGACACAATGTCAAATATTAATTCATAAGCCATAAGTAATATTAATTCATAAGCCATATTTTCACGCATGAAGTTAGATTAAAAATGTGTTTTAATGAAATATAAGTAAAGAAACTCTATGGTTGTTTATTTTAAAATTTTAATAAAATTGTGGTTTTTATCATTTTTTTTATATTTTACAGATCGTCGAGATGGTGAGAAATTCATGGGGGAAATTGAACAGTCTTACACAAAGCTAACAGATTTTTTCGGAGCATTAGCAAAGCATCGCAAACGCGGACAACATCTTCTGGGTGAAATTGAACGGGCCAAACGCTGCTTCACTTTGCAACTACGAGATGTTACTGTTGTGGAAGACGTATGCAGTTTATTTTTTAGAAGTATTTTTGAGAAGGAAAAGATATTAAGAGTTGAAGTACTGTAATGCTTCAACTTTTAATATTTTATCAAATTTACTTCTCTTAGATGCAGATTGCTAAATGGAAATCTTAATTAGTGTTTTAAAGTTTTTTTTAGGCTTACCAGAAATTTGGTGCTGGGATCGATGAAGTTTGTGCAGAAGTGGAAGAAATGTTAAAAACAAGTGTTTATCCAGGTGCTTCGCCTCCACATGATGCCCCTTCACCGACAGCCAATGATGATCCGTTTAGGGAGGGTGTCGAAATTGCATTCAAGCGTAAGTTCCTAGAATTTGATTGTTGCGATTTCCATACATAACCTTTTTTTTGTTCTATTAGAACATAAGAGTTGCATTCAAACTTCTATTTTGCGCATTATTTCGAATTTCAAGTCACCTTTATGTTTATTCACTCTTTCTTATATCATAATGAATACAATTGTAGAAATGAGAGGACCACAGTGCGATTCTAGTGCACCACTGCCATTACCAAAAGTAGTACCCGCCAAGGAGGAATCCGTTGTCACACCTGGTAAATATTAGTCAAATTTTTTTTGCATATCGGACTTGGAATTATGCCTGTTTCGGATCAAAGTAATGTCAATGATTGTCATCCATCCATGCAGATGTTTTGTTTTTGTTTTAAAAATTTTTCAAAGTAGTTGTTGATTAATACAAGATTTTCAATATTTGGTGATAAGAGAAACTTTAGATTCACTTCAAACGGATCAGTCATTCAGAGGTTCAGCGCATATGTTAAAAGTGATAGAAGGAATCCGAGCAAGTGAGGTAACTTCTTTATCTGGGTTTATATTTTCCGTTTATTTTAGCTCAAAAAATGCCTAGGTCGGCTAGCATATTGAATCA